AGCTGTATAGACTAAGGAGTAGATTATGTTGAACAATAAATCATAGTTGAACCAGTGTCTCTTTTCTTTATATGTCAGGTCACGTATTGTGTCTGTTTTGATGTTCATAACAAAATTTCCCAACTCGCCAATTTCAGATTACTGTGTAACATTCAGAGACCCTTGGATACGCTTCTGGTATTGAACAAAAGGTTTGGTTTTAAATTTCATGTAAAGCTTCTCAAGGGCTATCTACGCAACTGTCCCTAACTTGGCAATGATATACTAGAGAGAAAGCAGCTAGTCAACAAAATTCATTACCAACTCTTGAGCTACTCTTTTTACCAACAATTAGTGGCATTGGCTGTCACTTTATAACGCCCCTACGGCTGAAAGAGTGAGCATATCGGTAACGGCGAGTCGAGTGCTCTAACCACCTGGCCATGCCGGGTCCAACTTGTAGGAGACAAAAGATAAATCTGAAATGCTATCTTTGCACAACTCTAATTTAGAAAACGAAATGGAAAAACTAAAAGGAATGTAAATTAAAAAAACATCTGCAGTTTGAGTGATTTTTATCAGCAGAGTTAGGCCTAAGAAGAGTGAACGTTTCTCAGCTGGTGATTTTGACGACCAACTTTTGTCCTTACTACAAGTGATATTTTTAATAAATATTCCATAAACAAACACAAACATAAAAAATACACAAATCGTTTTATAAATCTTTTTTTTATTCCTAGACATTTGATGTGCAAAATCCTGATATATTTTACATTACTATTATTTAGTAACTTTAATTCAAAAGCTGAACAACTATAATATGATGTGTGCAATTTCTTCACCTTGATTTCTGGCCTTTTTAGATTTCAGATTAAGGCTTAAGTATTCTGAACGTGTTGCTAAATATTTTGTGAAATAATGCCATTTACATTCACAACAATCATCCATGTTAATTTTATACAAATACCTTAAAGGATTTAGAACGGTACTTTTGAACAGCGTTGTGCTGAGAATTGTTCTAAACGAGAATAATATATTCGTTTTCTTAGTTGAGTCTAACCTTCCGAACAACATAATTATTTCGACACCATATGTCCTTCACAATAGTTTTATTGTTTCATTGCTATCCTCCATCACTGATTGTAGCTTTGCATTCTTGTGGAATGGATTACTTCAGTCTCTCTTTTTCTGGACCGCCAGGTTTTTGCTTTAAGACCTTGGTAGAAGAAACCTTTTCAAACTTGGAGTTAAAAGAGTTTATTGACTGTCTTTAACGCGCGTTTTTGAGCCTTCAACTTAACTTCATTTCTTCAGTAAAATATAGTATTCACACAACCTACCGAAGTCACCGGTTCACAACAGCCTGTGTAATGCAACTATGACAAGGATACTCGAATATTTTGGCATATTCTGTTGTATTTTACAAATATATTAAAAACTCTGCTCAAACCCTTTTTTACTAACATATTTTATATTACTGAAACATCGTTTTCGAAATAACTAAAACTGTGTTCGTCAAGAGTCAAAGATACATTTAAAATGTAAAAAAAGTTTAACGAAGCATTTGCAACAAGAGAATCAACTTTTGTACAAGTTATTTTATTTTATAATTTTTAATAGTAATTTTATTCAGAGCATTATAGATGCAAATTACTTCAAGTACTAGCTATTTCACTATAAAAGTACTTAATCGTGTTACAGAAATTACAGCTGGTGTACGTGTTTTTAAAACTGTATGCTTACAGCACAAAATATTAATTAAACAAATTTGAGACAGAGACGTGGGGCGTTATAAAGTGACGGTCAATCCCACTATTCGTTGGTAAAAGAGTAGCCCAAGAGTTGGCGGTGGGGGGTGATGACTAGTTGCCGTCCATCTAGTCTTACACTGCTAAATTAGGGACCGCTAGCGCAGATAGCCCTCGTGTAGCTTTGCGCGAAATTCAAAACAAACCAAACCAGAGACGATAGAAGCCTGTGCATAATGTTTAGAGATTGTTGATGCATTTCATCTCTCATGAAATTGGCAGAACTTTGTACGAATGATGATTTAATGGAACTGACTCTGAGGACTTAAACAGATTAACGTCGAGAACTAAACTGGATATAAACGTACAAAACATGTTTTTGTAACTAGAGTTCTAACAGTTGTTTTATCTGTGACGAGATATCAATTCAAGGCATATTTTCTAACTACCGATGGCATGACAAGTAAACCTAGGAAAGTTTGTTTGTTTCGGATGTACGCGCAAAGCTACACAAGGGTTACCTGATCTAGCTAACTCTGAGTCTACGTTAATAGAATGGTGGGATTTGGTCGTCACTCTAATAACGTACCCATGGCCCCAAAGTGCGAAGCCCATTATCCATTAGGCCACATAGTATGTAAAGTATAACATAATATAATAATAAAATATTTTAAATCTCTATTTTTTCTTAACATAGAAATCACGCAAAGGTAAAGAATGCTACAGTCTCTTTCACACGTAAGTAAATGTGTTATCAAACAGGAATAAAAGTTATAATATATTACTACATATTATATGCTGTTCTTTTGATAAGCCACTTGATTATAGTGAGTTTATTTTTTTTATATTCCGGTGCATGTTGTTATGTTTTTATAAAAAAGTAAAAAGCAGATTTCTGTATTTATAACAATAACTAATTATTTGCACAGAGATCATATATAATAGACCTAACGGAAAATGTCTCTCTATAGAACGTTAAACCATTAGTATCAGAACTTACTCCACCAAAAGTAATTTAACCATCAGTCCAGATATTTGAAATTGGTTTATCGATAGACTATGAGAGCATAGTTCGACATAAATATATACGTAAATAACCGTGTTAAACATAAATCAGAACAACGCTTATATCAGCTTTATACAGTGTCTATACTACCTGGTATCTAAACTTATAATTAGCTATGGTCATTTCCTATCTTGTCAGTAGCTATATTTTTCTCTGTAAGTGTGTGTGTGTTTTCTTAGAGCAAAGCCACATCGAGCTATCTGCTGTGTCCACCGAGAAGAATCGAACCCCTGATTATAGCGTTGTAAATCCGAAGATTTACCGCTTCCCCACCGGGGGACTTTTCTATATTAAGACGAAGACAAACTTAATTTTAAACTGTCGATTATAATTCGATGACGAGGAACCCTCTTTGAGACTAATAATGCTTGGATACGACTTAAATGAGTAACGAAGAAAACTTTAATATAAGTTTAACATAACAGCAAATGTA